GCCTGTCAGCTCTGCTAGAGGGAAGAGAGCCGGACCGTTTTAAGGTCACCATCCTTTACTCCCCACCCCCATGTAGGGGAAGTGAACTTCTAAGTGTCTTATCATTTCTGCTATTGATTGCTAGTATTTGGTCTACTCGACAGAAGCAAATAAACAGAATGAAGCCCTGTCTGTTCCACCCGTACAGATGTACAAGAGTAGATAGCGGTCGCCGAGCTGTGGTGCAAATGCGATGGTTTGTGCTGTTTGCGGCCTGCCTTCCAGGTCTTGTCTCTTCTCTGTTCCCACTGAAAGAGGGCAGCAGTCACCTCTGACATCCTGTGCTTCCCCACTTTTAGGTATCTTGCTTGGGGACTTCTTACATGCTGTGAGGAGGAAGAAGGAAAATCAGCTGCCCTGGAGTAAAATCCGACGCATCTTCACAGCGTTGGACAGGCACTGTAAGTGTCTTCTCAGGGGCTCGCCAGGAACAACCGGGAAGGAAGGTGCTGTGCGTGTGCCTGTGTAAATGAAGTATAAGGAGCTCCGGCGGGGCAGTGGTCAAGTGCTGGGCTGCTAACCGAAAGAGCAGCCGTTCGAATCCACCAGCTGCTCCACGGCTGGCAGTGTGCTTCTGAAGAGAGTCCAGCCTGGGAAGGCTGAGGGGCGATTCTTCCCTGCCACAGTGTTTCTGTGAGTCAGTCTAGACCCGATGACACACCTCAAACCCCACAACAAGGTGAAAACACAGATACAGTCTGCCTTCCAGAGGGTTCCCGCCCACGACTCCATCATAAGTCAGTCTGACATCAGCCCCATAGTTCTTTTCTAAGATTTTCGTTTTTCGTTATTACCACCGCCTTTGGTAATGCGCATCTTTATAAGCCCGGCCTGTATTCATCTTTAGGGCTTGGAAACATTGCCTATAAACTGGCGTGTATATTTCCTGACGGGATGCATACAAAGAAGAGGGGAGGGGGACAGCCTTCACTGCCGTGGGTGGTAACTCGGGGACGAACTGCCCTTGGAAGGTGATTTTACAGGTCGTCCTCAGTTTGCGACAGGGTTTCCTATGGGCAGCTCCATCATAAGTTGCTTCTGACCTTAAGTTGAGTAACCTCTCTCTCTCTCTTTTTTGGTTGTCATTACCATTGCCATAGACTGCTTGTTGACAGCAGTGCTTTGACCAGTAAATCGTAACATTGAGTATTTGCAAGGGAAGATTTGAGAATGGTGAGGTC